CGAATAAAATATATTGACATACAACATCATTTTATTCGGGAACTTGTTGAAACACATGTTGTCTCCTTAGATCATGTTTCTACTAACAACCAATTAGCCGATCTACTTACGAAACCACTAGATGGGATGAGGTTTGAGTCGCTTCGGACGGCTGTTGGTATTTGTTTGCCTATCTGATCATGAATTCATGCATATTCATGCATTTATCATATCTGCACTTATTCATTTCATATCTTGTATGTGATAAATGTGTGTGTGGTACATTTTGTTTGTTAGTTATTTTTTTTAGTTTTTATTTTGAGTATTAAGTTTGCATTTGAAATTTAAAATAAAAATAAATAAATAAATAAATAAAAATTTTTGTGTGCATCGTGTATGACGTTATGATGTTTGCATTCAGGATCAAACTCTATTTTTCATCATGTGTACGAGTCTGAGGTTCCATCGTAGTTCTCACGTTCTGTGGAGTTCTTGGTATACGGCTCGTCATGCATTTTCGCACAGCACACACTGTAGTCCTGTAGGTGGGTCTTGACTGCATGGGTGAGACTTGGGATGGTATTCTTCTGTGATTGGGGTTGTTTGTCCATTTGACTTGATCTGTGACGAGTGTAACCTAATCAATATTGTCTTTCCCCATTTTCTACATTATTTTTTGAACTTATTTCTGTCTTCGGGGCCTATTTGACTCGAACAATTAAGCCTTAGTGGTTTCTAACTTGGTGCCCTATGGTCGTCTGGCTTGGGAGTCACCGGCCCAAAGTTCGTTACAGGGGTCATTTTTGTCGCCTAATGAAGATAGGATTGCACCTAAGTTCTTGTGTTATTAAAAAAATAAAAAAAAATGACATACAGATTTGTCTACATGCTCTAAATGTCGGGTTTGTGATTTTGTGTATATTATTCGTATCGTCTACATATTTGGGTACGTGCTTCATCATCGATTTTTTAGTTTGTCTTTACAAAAACAAAAACAAAATAATACATACAACTGAAAATAAAAATAAAAGTTTTTGGACCTATTTTCGTTATTTTCCAAAATTGTGCTACTTTTCCTAAATTTCAAATGTTTGGTGCTATTTTTGACATTTCATTTTCGCTCGAGTCTCGCCTGGACTTCGCTCGAGCGATAAAAGCAGAAAGGATGTCGCTCGAGTTTCGCCCCGATCTCGCTCGAGCGACATATATATTTAAATGCGGCTATTTCAATTTTTCGCGTATTTCATCATTTTTTTCCTTCAATTCTTTTCTTCTTCCATCGAAATTATTCACTCCCGATTCATTTTTGGCCTCAGTTCGACATCTTTAACACAATCTTGGGTCTGAAACACTGACTTCTTGGCAAAATCTTTAGGTAATTCCCAACTTTCTTTGCTTTCAATTTTTTTTTGGTTTGTTTGATTTCTTTTCTTGATCATTGTGTTGGTTTGTATTATTTTGGCATTACATCTTGCTTGTACACATGTTTTGCATCAAGTATTGCTTTCCATTTCCCAAATTATAGTGCATTCCTATGGTTTTCTTCACATTTTTTCTAAGTTTTTGGTTCATGTTCATCAATGTAGTTCTTGCACCTCGTTGATTCGTTTGATGTGTGGTTTGTTTGATTGTGATTGGGTCTCGTATGTGCTTGGAATTTGGTGCCGAAGTCACGCACGCCACGTGTTCGATGAAAGTTCACTTTTATGCTTATTTGGTTTCTTTTGATTTTTTTTTATTTCCTTCTTTTCCTTCGTTTTTTTCCTACTTATTTGAGTGTCATTGCATGCCGTGTGTGTTTTCATTCATGTTTATGTGATTGGATCATATGTGTTTCCGTGTGTGCATCTTCTCATATCATGTTGCAGTGATGCGTGCATTTCACATTATGCTTATTCTTTTCATCTCCGCATGTGCCAGATGGCTCGTAAGTGCTCTCGTACCTCTGCACAGCCCGCTAGTGGATTGACATCTTATAGTAGATCCCGATTTATTTCTGCTACAGCTCAGAAGGTCTTCACATCTCAGTTCTCCTTACGCCCCGTTCTCATGGAGCGTGAGGTAATTCTATCTGACCTTCCTGTTGACGTCGCCACTATTTTTGTTTCCCGGGGTTGGGAGCCCCTTCTTGTTGGTCTTACACCACCGCCTCCACTCCTCGTTCAAGAGTTTTATGCTAATATTCATGATGTGGATGGGTCGTCGTTTAGGAGTTTTTTTAGAGGTCATTCTTTTCGAGTTACTCCGTCTGCAATAGCTCTTGCGTTAGGTATACCTCAGATTCCTCATCTGACGTATCCCTATCTTCTCCCTGCTTCTCTTTCGACCGATGCCCTTGTTCGGTCGACTCTTTTGAACACCCCGTCTACTGGGGGGCCTACGGCTATGGCCACGGGTTCATTACCCACTGATCGACAGGTTTTGTTGCGCATCGTGTGCACAAACCTGTGGCCTGTTGCCTATACTTCTTCTTTACCGATGGTACGGCTCGTTTTCTATATGCCCTACTTCATGGGGACTCTATCAACCTTCCTACTTTTGTATGCCAGCAGATTCTAGCTTCTTTTCGTACTCCTGGGGGTCGTTTAGGGTTACCTTATGCCTGTTTGATTTATCGGGTTGTCCTTTCTCTTGGTGCATCTTTCCCTGAGGGGTCTTCTACTCGTATAGGTCGCCCGATAGGACAGCAGACCATTCACCAGAGTTGATCCCATGTCCCGTCCTCTTCGGCTCAGGCTGAGCCCGTTGATTTTTTTATTTTTCGGAGCCCTTTGATCCTATTACTGATATTCTTACTAGGGGTTCCCGTGTCTTTCTTCCGCCTCGTTCGGATTTTCCTTCAACTGTTCCGCATCGAACTGCCTTTCCTTCGACATCTACTTCTGCTCCAGGGGTGGCTTCCTTGCCTGTTGACCCCATGGTGACGTTTATGGGTCAGAAGTCTACTTTAGTCGCGCAGCAGGCTCGTATGATAGTAGAGATCACGCAGTTACATGCTGCTTCGAAGTATCAGTCTGCTGAGCTTTCTTCATTTCGGAGTGCTCTATCAGTGTGTCAGCATCAGTTGCGTTGGATTCGTGATCGATTGGATGAGAGCTCGAGTGACGAGATTGGTGATGAGTCACTGAGTGCGGGTGGTGCTGCTTCTTAGTTTTAGTTTTAGTTTTTGATCCTTTGTCATTTGTGACAAATAGGAGGAGTAGATAGTTTAATCTTAATTTAACTGTGATATATTGGATTAACTGTGATATAACTGTGGTTTGATATCTATTTAATGACTAGATTAAGTTTTGATGTTTTAGCGATATTGATGTATGTTTTTGGTGTTTTTTGACTTACATTACTATTGCTTCTTAATCAGGTTAATTACATATGCACTATTCCTTGTTTTATCTACTGTTTCCATTTCACGTGCTTTTACACTTGGTATTGAGTTTCTGTATTTCAGGAAACAGGTTCGACAGGAGATAGTTGCTTTGGTTGAATGAATAGGTCGTTAGGAGTTACATTTTTTTTGTGTCCTTGATTGTCTTGTGTAATTTTGTCACAGAATGCCAAAGGGGGAGTTTGTTGGGAAAATGTTGTAATTGGCAATCTGTGACCAAAAGGACTAATTTGTCGAGTTTGTAAAGTCAAGGACCAATTTGTCAATGTCTAAAAGTTTAGGGACTTGTGTTACAATTTTGCAATAATTAATGTATAGGTCTAGGGTAAAGTTGGATGCTTTGAAGAGCCTAAATAACAGAACCTGCGTCGCTGGAGTTTCGCCACCACTTCGCTCAATCGAGAGTGCGTCGCTAGAGTTTCGTCGGCACTTCGCTGGAGCGACAGTGTCATCCGGCGTTTGGTAATTTTCCTTCCTCGTGAATTTTAAACGCTCCATACTACCAAAAACAACCTACTATATAAACAAAAATTTCGCTTTTCATTAAGAACCATTGGCAAAACACATAGCACAATATTTTCTTCTCTACAAAAGGATCAATTGCAAAACTCTTTACCATATGATTCATTGAAGAAAAAAACACATCAAACACCTTTTCAAACAAAACACTTATCAAAAATCCTCACTACTTCCAGAAGATCAGTTGATTGAAGATCCGGGAAGGAGGTTGATTGAAGAACTGGAGTTCTTGTTGATTCACGGGAAATAGAAGAAATACAAGGTTGGGATTTTGGCGCAGGTCTGCAGAATCCAGGAGAGCTTTGGTTGATACAGTAAGGAGGTCAGAATGTTGTTAGATACAGTCATGTCTGGCGTACTGTAAGTTGGAGTCTTCTATAGTGAATCCCTACTTGCTTGTATCCGGAGTTTTTACCCAGTTGGGTTTTCTCCGTCAACAATTTTTGTGTTATTTATTGCTTTCTGTCAATTTCAATTCAACCGGCAATTCAACATAGGTAGTTAAATCATGTGAATGAATTTGGACAACGTTTAATTTATGTGACTTGTTGCATAACTTAATTAAATTGTTAAATTCCGCATAGACACCTATTCACCCCCCCCCTCTAGGTGTTGGTTGGGTCGAACTATAGCCTTTTCATGATGTAATGATCAATGATTTAAATTAGGCAAACCAATATTTCTCTCTTGTAATTCTCCTTTGTGGACACTGTTTCATTGTATTTGTATGGAAGTAAATTTAGAAGTCTCCTTTTTGTAGATAAATTTCTTCAGGTCCCTTAGAACCAAAGAAAGTGCTAAGTTGTAACGCTTATTGCAATATTGTAAGCTCATATTCATCCCCATGAAGGAACATACTTACTTCGAGAGTTACAATAGACAGTCGATAACCAAAGAAACTTGATCCATTACTCACTTCATCTAAACATTTGAATTAGTACACATTCCTATGAATTGACAAACACTATCCACTACTCATTTCTATCTTATTTATAAATTAAACCGTTTATTAATTCTTCCCAAAGGAGGCTAAATTGTAGGATGCAGTGAAAATTTTCACAGTTTGTTATAGTGCATTTTGGCTAACAAGCAAAGATTGAGCGTGGTAGAAACTTACAGGGATATGAGAATCTCTGGCACTACGCTTTGGGTCAGCGGCGGAGAAAACAGTGTAAACGAGGATGAATGTTCCGATGATTTCGGTGTTGGGAATCTACTTATACATGCACAGCGAAAAATTAAATTATTTCGATTCCCATCCAATAGATCTCATTGTGTTTGGTTAGGAATTGTGATAAGATTGTACCTTTTTCAGATCTGCAATCCTTTTGCTTTTCTTTTCGTTCCACAACTTTGATTCGCCACCACAGCTGTCCAATTGTCCAGCCTCCAACGGTGATCCACACAGAGAATATGATTGCAGCCTCTAGGGTTTTCTCTTGTGCTAGCAAGAATAATGAAAACCTTAATGGACCTCTAACCCTAGTTATGTATTTATATAAACCCAAACAGGCTCGGCCCGGTCCGGTCCAATAATTAATTAATCCAATTAATTAAACCCGGTCCGTGAATTAATTAATCCAATTAATTAATTCGAAAATATAAATAACAAATCCAATTAATTAATTTATTCAACGATTGTTAAATTAACCAATTGGCAATTTGCAATCTTCCAATTCTCTTTTGTGTGTGACCCATTAGGTTCCCGACCACGATGCCTAACGACGTGAAATATTATTTTGATCTAATCAAAATTGATAAATTAAAACACCCTTTTAATTTATCGTCAATTCACATTCGCCGTCCCTGATTGACATCTAGCAATGTGTCAGGGCAATACATGTGACGGGAAATGTCATGTGGTATGACAAAACCAAATTCGTTCGTTTACCGTGAAACTATAATCCCTTCGTCAATATGATCCGATCAATTACGAGATATGGAATTGTGTCAATCTCGATCATCGATCATATCTTTCACTCCACTATTAAGTCAATATAAATCGAAAACTCCTTTTCGACTCATG